GAGTCAGCTTCTCCCCACTTAGGACCCCGGGACTAAACAACAGTTTATAACTGAGGACAGTCAACCATGGTCCGAGTTAATGATGTCACTTGCCCTGGACTCAGGATAACAGGAACAGTAGTGGGGAGGGAGTCTTGCTGGGCGCCTGGCATTTCAGGTTTGTCCCTAACCCTCTCCTAAATGCACGGCCTTCGAGTGGAATGCCGGGAACTGCCCGTCTAAGGGAGGGCGGTTCTTCCGAATCTAAGGGTAATGCATGGTGTTCCTGAGGGAATGGGGAAAGGCTTTGGGGGTGCTCATGGTCAAAGACATCTTGGGTCCTCTGTCCAGAAGGAGGGAGGAGCCATGGGTTGTCTGGCCTCAGGCCTTACCACACTGGCCCTCCGGTAGTGACCCCCAGGCTTATCCACGTCGATGGGGAAGTCATCCAGGGTCCAGATGAAGGTGAGGTCCATGGTGGGGTCGTGGGAGGCGTGGCACTGCAGGGTCAGGCTGTCCCCCAAGTTGACATCAGCACTCGAGGGGGCCAAAGTGATCTTGGTTGCATCTGCCAAACAAAAGAAGGCCCCGGGGTGGATGGGGGAGGAAAGAGGCCCAGGCAGGGGCAGGGGGGCAAGGTGAGAGGGTGTGTCCTAAACCCCAGGAGAGAGAAGAGGCAGCATGGCCAACAGGATCTTGACCTCCCAGCAGCCCCACCAGTGTGTGAAAGGGAGACAGGAGTAGATTCTGGATGGCGGTGGGGAGGTGGTCCCAAATGAAGTCCAATCCTGGGGTAGCCTCCAAGCCAAACCCAAACCCAGAGGAAGGTGGGAACATAAGAGCAGGGTGTCGAGGAGGGACTGGGACCCTGTGGTGGCTGAGCCACCCACCCTCCTCCAAGCCACACCCCTCACCTCGCACAGACAGAATGCCCGTGCTGTTGGCTTTGCCCATGAAATTCTCAGCAAAGCAGGTGTATTTGCCTTCATCTGACCGACTGATGTTTCTTATGATCAAGGTGCCATCCGGAGTTACGGTCACTCTGCAGCAAGGAGAAAGCAGATCTGGCCAACCTAGGGTCACACTGCAGCCGTCACGGGAAGGGGACTCGCCTTCGTGGTGGACGAGGAGAGGCAGGAATTGCTGCAGGTAGAGTGGGGTTTGTACCTGCTGCTGTTGACCAGAATCTCGGTGCCTTTGCTCCAGAGCACCACAGCCTTCGGGGCCGCCCGGGGCTGGCAGGGGATAACGATCTCCCCCCCGCGGGCCGCAGGGATCAGACGCTTTACGGGGTTCAGCCTGAAGTCGGGGGCCAGTGCTAGAAGGAAAGGGGGGTGCCCTGCAGTCACCCAGGGAATCACAGCAGTACCCGTTGCCCTTGATGAAGATGTCAGCTGACTGCACGCTGAGCGTTTTACCTACCCTCCAAGGCCAGTCCAAAATACACCCAGGATCCAGCCCTTCCCGTCACCCCTACCCCCCACTGCCACCACGCTGGTCCAAGCCACCAAGTCCCCTGCCAGACTATCGAAAAACCCCCTAGGAGGTCTTCCTGTTTTTGCACCTTCTTTCTACAATCTCCTGCTCCAGCCAGCAGCCTGGCATGTCTTTTAAGAAACTTAAACAAGGGGCGCCTGGGTGGCGCAGTCGGTTAAGCGTCCGACTTCAGCCAGGTCACGATCTCGCGGTCTGTGAGTTCGAGCCCCGCGTCGGGCTCTGGGCTGATGGCTCAGAGCCTGGAGCCTGTTTCCGATTCTGTGTCTCCCTCTCTCTCTGCCCTTCCCCCGTTCATGCTCTGTCTCTCTCTGTCCCAAAAATAAATAAAAAAAACGTTGAAAAAAAAAAAAAAAA